AGGAGGAAGAGGGGAAGAGGGAGATAGAGGGGGAGACGAGGAGAGAGAGAGAGAGAGAGAGAGGAGAGAGAGAGAGAGAGAGAGAGAGAGAGAGAGAGAGAGAGAGAGGAGAGAGAGGAGAAGAGAAAGAGAAGAGAGTGAGGAGAGAGAGAGAGAGAGAGAGAGAGAGAGAGAGAGAGAAGAGAGAGAGGAGAGAGAGAGAGAGAGAGAGAGAGAAGAGAGAGAGAGAGAAGGAGAGAGAAGAGAAAGAGAGAGAGTGAGAGAGAAGAGAGAAAAGGGAGGGGAGAGAAGGGAAGAGGAGAGGGAGATAGAGAAGAGAGAGAGTGAGAGGAGGAGTGAGAGAGAGAGAGAGAGGAGAGAGAGAGAGAGAGGAGAGAGAGAGAGAGAGAGAGAGAAGAGGAGAGAGAAGAGAGAGAGAGAGAGAGAGAGAGAGAGAGAGAGAGAGGGGGGGGAGAGGAAAGGAGAGGAGGGAAGAAGAGAGGAAAAGGGGGGGAGAGAGAGAGAAAGAAAAGATGCGAGGAGACAAAGCACCAAACAAAAATACATGAGCAAGAACATGTCGACACAAAGGCGTGCTGAGGCTCGTGAGTGAGTACGTATTATACTCTTTAATAAGACACGTTAAAATTCAACCCAAGTGCACAACCTCCTTTCAGAAATATACTAACTTTATACAATGCCATTCCGAGGTTGCAAATATAATCGTTTGTATTGCAATTCATTGTCAGTGAAAGTTGTTTAGAACAGATAACAGCAGAAATGATGTAACTTTGAAGTTTCGATTTCCTCAAAAAAAAAAAAAAAAAAAAAAAAAAAAATCAAGGGAAGTGCTTTTGAACTGTTTTAGAAGTTATCACTCACATCGTTTCGTTTATATTTGACCCATTATTTATTCTCTCTCTCTTCTTTCTTTATCTCTCTCTTCTTTCTTTCTTTCTTTCTTTCTTACTTTCTTTCTTTCTTTCTTTCTTTCTTTCTTTCTTTCTCTCTCTCTCTCTCTCTCTCTCTCTCTCTCTCTCTCTCTCTCTCTCTCTCTCTCTCTATATATATATATATATATATATATATATATATATATATATATATATATACCTATCTATCTATCTACCTACCTACCTATCTACCTATCTATCCTATCTATCAACCCATCTATCTATCTATCTATCTCTTTTTTTAGTTGTATAATACATCAAACAGAAACGCATATGTATGGACTTGAATCCCGATCCTAAAAAAAAAAAAAAACACTCAATCCTTTTCAACAATTATTATTACCTTGAGATGAAATTCCTTCTCACTTCGACCACCGTTGCCTCACATGAAGCAAAAGACAGACGGACGTGAAGTGGTGAAGTGGCCCTTGTTCGTGCAGTGGGCTAAGACGATTAAGATCTCGCCCATAAATAGCGGCTGTCGGTTCCTCCTTTAGATTGTTGTAAGTTCAGAATCACTGCCGATATAACCTGTTTTCGCTGAATTACCAATGAGCTGGCGAATCAGTGCAGATGCCGGTACATCACAAATGGTGAAATCTGTGTGTGATTGTGGCCTCGTTTCTCTGGTTTTAGAATTATGATATTTTAAAAATATCTTAACTGCTTTGGTCAGCACTGACGTGATATATTACACATATACATACATTTAAATACATACATATACATATATGTATATAAATATATATATATATATATATATATATATATATATATATATGTAATATATATACATATATATATATATGTATATATATATATATATATATATATATATATATATATATATATATATATATATATGCTTACATATATACATACATTCAAACACATTCATACACGTATATATATATATATATATATATATATATATATATATATATATATATATATATATATATATATATATATATATATATATGTATATGCTTACATATATACATACATTTAAACACATTCATGCAATATATATATATATATATATATATATATATATATATATATATATATATATATTATATATATGAATATATAATGTATATATATATATATATATATATATATATATATATATATATATACATATACATATAAATATATATATATAATATATATATATATATATATATATATATATATATATATATATATATATATATATATGTATGGATGGATATACATGTATGTAAAAAATATCAATACACACACTATGAGGCAAAATGCAAATGAAAGACTTTCTGAGATTAGCTGAACAGAATTCGGCAATATCACATTGTATTTCAAATATCTATGAAAACTAACCTGCCACTTACATGTTTATCACCACCGGCTTATCAACAGCCTACCATCTCCAGCCTATTAAATGCATGGTCGCCCAGATGGAAAATAGATAACAGAAATATTTAGATAGAAAAATATTGCTTTTCCATGTCTACATAAACACCAGATGGATAATAGATAACAGAAATAGATAGATTGAAAATATTGCTTTTCCATGTCTACATAAA